TCTATCTACCTGCCTGTCTGCTTGCCTACCTACCTACCTATCGACCTGCCTCTCGACCGACCTACCTACCTACCTACTAACCTATCCAGAAAAACAATGTTTCAGGTCGGTACCGATAACATTCTTTGTCCTAGTTACTTACCTAAAACTCTTTTTAATGCTTGCTTATACTAATGCTAATACTTGTTTTTTTATATTTTAGGAGAAGATATGGCTCAGAAACAACGAGCATGTGATATTATCGGGCAGGCATTACGCAATTCACAACAAATAAAGCTTCAGAAAATTCGAAGAAAAATCAATTTTGATGTTCAACCAGACGAGGACATAAATAGGTACAAACAGAATTCATTTTCTAAAGTCTCAAATGATGTCAAAGATTTTGATGTTAATGAAAACTCTGAACCTACTTCATCATCTAACTTAAATGATTTAAATCAATCAAAAAATTATTTACTTGGAGATAAAAATGATGACATCAGCAATATTATCTCTGTAAACGTAGCTGTTTCACCAAAGCCTGAAAAACAATTTACCGAGAAAATAAAAATAATTAGCGATGAAATTATAAATGTACCACCACTATCTATAACATCTACATCAAAATTGTCGTTACCTTCAACTAGTTATATCGAGATAGAACCTTCGCTTTCTACCAATTATACTGAGACAGAACCTATGCCATCTACCAGTTATATCGTTCCAGTACCTTTGCCTTCAACTGGTTCTGTCGAGACTGAAACTTTTTCTTCAACCGTCTACATCGATATGAAACCTTTGCCTTCAACTAGTTGTATCGAGACAGAACCTTTGTCTTTAACAAATAACATCAATATAGAACCTTTGCCCTCTACCAGCTTTAGCGTTACCTCAGTGCCTGTTTCTAATATAGATAGTAACCCACCACCATGTAAAAAGCGTCATACAATGAAAAAACAATATTTTGACTATTTATCCGACGAAGAAGACTTTACAACCATTTTCGGAGAAGGAGAAGCAGATTCAGATGTTTATGAACCTACTTCAGAATCAGATGATTCTGAAGTAGGCTCAGGTATGACTAATAAGAAAAAGCGGAAAAAATCTAACAAAAACAACGTAGAGCTAGAACATGAAATCAATAAGGTAGGAGATAATGCAGTAAAAAAACGACGTATAAATCAAAAGAAAGTACAAAGAACTCTAAGGCAATCTGGTCAAGCATACGTGAAAAGAAATGGCATTGAAGTCCCTGCTAAAGAAATTAAACCTAACCCTTGTACAGGCAAGAAGTGTGGCAATGGTTGTGAAATGGTCACAGATGAGCGACGAAAATGTATTTTTGAATATTTTTGGAGCCTGTCAACCGTACGGCGCAAAGACTGGTTGGTATCAATGACTCAGAGGTCAGTTATAAAACGGAAGAGAAGTAATTCTGAGAAACGCTCATACAGTTACAAGTATGCAATAACAGAAGGTGAGGGGAAGCGATTCGTGTGCCTTCAGTTTTTAGCAGCCACTTTGGATGTTGGTCTGAAATTTATTCAATATACTGTACAAAACTCTGAAATTGGGTTGGCAAAAGAGGATAATCGTGGTAAACGCGAACCACATAACAAAACTAAAGAAAGTACAATAGTGTTAGTGCATAATTACATCAAGGGTCTCCCAGCTGTTCCCTCACACTATTGCCGTAAGGACTCTACCCGTGTTTACTTGCCTAGCTGCATAAAAAATATATCATATTTGTATGAAATGTATAAAAATAGTTATATAGAGAGAGGAATTGATATTGTAAGTGAACGTATTTTTCGGACCATATTTAATGAAAAATTTAATATCGGGTTTCACGTTCCTAAGAAGGATAAATGCCTAAAGTGCCTTAAATACGAACAAAATAAAGACAATGCAAGTATGCAAAAAGAAATGAAAGAACACGAAAGAGAAAAAGAAGATAGTTATAAGAGATTTAAAGCACATCAGAATATAAATAAAAACGATCCTGCCACCCTATGTGTTAGTTTTGATCTACAAAAAGTTTTAAATACTCCGTACGGAGAGAGCATGTTATTATTTTATAGTCGTAAACTAGCTGTATATAATCTATGTATTTATGAAAATGGCACGCGAAAAGTATTTTGTTTTTATTGGGACGAAAGTAACGGTAAACGAGGTGCCAACGAAATTGCAACAATACTCAATAAGTACATTAAAATTGTAGATAAACGTGGTACAGTAAAGAATTTATTACTATACTGTGATTGTTGTCCCGGTCAAAATAGAAACCGGATAATCATGGCAATGTTACACGCAACTTTGCAAACGTGCAATAATATCAATGTCATCCAAATAAACTTCTTGCTAACAGGGCATACTTACATGCCAGTAGACTCCGTCCATGCCGTTATTGAGAAAAATTAAAAAAAAACTACCATTCACGCACCTTCTCAGTGGTTTACAGTCTTTACTACAGCGAGACAAAATCCAGAACCTTACATTGTCGACTCACTGCAATTCAATGATTTTTACAAATGGGATTCAATCAGTGAAAAATATTTCAAGGGAAATCTCACTGGCATAATCAGCAAAATGCGCATAGTAAAATTTAAAAAGAACGACTGTTTAATTAATTACAAAACTTCCATGAACGAAAACGCTGAGTCACATCAAATCATAGTACAGTCAAAGTCCATAGGTAATGTCCCAGCTTGTTATAAATCTCAGTTACCCATTTCGAAAATAAAACTTGATGACTCACTGAAACTCTGTACCGATAATGTGATCCCACAAATATTTCAAGGGGAGTATAAGAGCCTTAAAAGTGCTAGTAGCATTCGAGATACACTCCCTGAATCAGATGTCGAAGATGATGATATTAATTAAATAGGTACTTGGTTTTTATATTATTTATAATAAGTTATGTCTAATGTCTTAAATTTTTTTTTTGTATTTTTTGAGTAAAAGTTATGTCGTAAATAATTTTGTATTTTTTTTGTTCTGAGTAAATGTTTTGCATTTATTGTTTTTAGTACGTACGTTTTAGCTAAGTTATCTATTAAAGTAAATACCTGCCAATGTCAGGGACGATACAGGCTTGCCTAATGTGGGGACCACTGAAACACAAGTGTGTTTCAGTAGTCCCCACATTAGGCAAGACCTTATCGTGGGTAGTCATGATTATTTTAATACTTTTTGATCTCAATTAATGTATGATTGAATTATTACATAAATAAATAAATACTATTATTATTATTAATAATAATTAAGTGTACTTCATTAAGTTGCCCAGACTGATTCATAAGCCGAAGCAGTTACTATTTGTAGCTTAGAACAAAAATGTTGTACAAGGATTGTTAAAAACTTTTTTTATGATTGTATTAGATTTATAATTTTTAATACTTATTATTACTTATTAATATTACAAGTTTATTTGTCTCAAAGCACCTTGTTTTTATTATAATCCTCAGTAATAGTGCAAAAATCATCAGTAATCTTTAACTGCTGAACAATTATTATGAGATTTCATCACTTATTACAATTTTCTTCTCTATCTGTTACTAACCAATAACCACTCAAGCTATATTGGCCTCGCCTGATAAACAAGAAATATTACAATATGCCCTTTTTTCTTGTTTTTAAAAAATACTGAAATGCATTTGCATCGTTTAGGCTGGAAGTGAATCCCATGTTATATTCACTTGGAACGTTTTTGCTGTTTGTAAAATCTGGGTCATTTCAGGGTAAGCGACCGTAAATGATACTTCGAGATGGAATTCAACAAAATTAATTATGCCAGTTTATGGAGAACCTTTCAAAAGCTATTTAGTTATAAATTTAAGCCTGTGGACCCAATATTTTTTTTTCTATGAATTTTTTTAAACTTTAAACCTCTCTCCTGTAAAGTTTGTAGAATGGCGGTTATCCCTTTTTGGCCGTTAACCGTCGATTTGTTAATTTTAATGAGTGACACATTCGTTATTCGTAATCTATAATTATACAGATTGAAGACATGTGAAAAGTAAGTGTATAACCCAGAAACTGGCAAAAATTCAAGTTTTCGGCCAAAGTATCAAGCTAGAAGCTATTTGTAAATAAAAACATAAGTTGTATGAAATACGTAAATTTCATACAATCCCTATAAATATTGCATGAATCGTGTCAATTTGATAACTATGTTTTTGTGAGTTTAAAAATAACCCCTTCAGCCGCCTATGAAACCTACCTAGAATGTAACAACAGTATAACATACAATTCAATCATTAAAATAAAACACAATAAATGCATAACTTTATTTTATTTAAATGATAATAAACATGCGCTCTAAATAATATAAAAACAAACAAAAACGATCCTAAAAATAATGTATTTATGTAAAAAACAGTAAATAATAAAGATATATTTCAATGTAACTCATAAGTAAATATCCTATGAGTATTTATAAATCTAAAAATATAACTAATCAATAAAACAATTCAACAATATAAATAAAAGAATAATAAACAGCCGTGCTTTACACCGGCTTTGTCAATTTCTCAACGATGTGGTATATGATTGAACTGCGCAGGACAACATCTCTGCAAAGAGAAAGAAAACTGGGTTCCAACCTGGCCAGCGTGGTATAGTAGGCCAAAGCTTTTTTTCTAAGGAGAGGCCTTTGTCCAGTAATGGACTATTAAAAGCTGTTGATGACTAGTCGTTGAGCAGTTGTCGATGACATTAGTAGAGTGGTTAGTGTGGCGACTTCCACATACAAAGGAACAGAAACATACTACATCGCCATCTAACGAAGACACACCGAACTACGGAGTAACTACTAAATGAGTATTGCTAATCCTGTATCGCGATATAAAGAATTCCCTCGTTATTTTTATTTTTTCTAACACCAGAACAGAACCCCCAAAATACATGAAAAACATGTTTCAAACACTAAAATCCCACTAATATTCTAGTCTGATTTTCTTCTTGTGTAAAATAATTTAGACAAGTTACTAGCACGTATCAAAAAAAAAAAAACTTATTTGTTAATACTTGAAGTCTTCGGTTTTGGTATTGGCAGCCATGAAAACAGCTTCGGTAGTGAAAGGTCCATCTGAAAAGGTTACAAATCTTATTAATTACATGCAGTGCAGTTAATAACTTGTATTAGAATTTAAAAATATCTCGAAGAATACTACTAACGACGTAATAGTAGTATAGTACAGGGCAGTGGCCCTGTTCTACTAGAACTATCTATCATTTGTCACTGTGTGAATTGAATGTGATTTTTTAAAATTGAAGTGTACAATACTTTATTTTACACATAATCATTAACAGATCTTTACCAATAAAGTTGGAGATAGATTTTCAATACCAGCATTTTCAGATTGGTTTATCTGTGGATTGGCGCGCAATTCGAGATTCTACAAAAAATATATATTCGAAAGCCATGTTACTTAAATTTAAAAGTCAGTCATTGGTTTTAGATGGTGTTTTCTTTTTATGAAATTGTGGTAGTTTTTTATTATGAGTTCTACTATGAGAAACATTAACAACACAGTGTTAGCATTGCTTGCATAAACACGGTCCATTATTGGTTTAATACTATTTGATCAGGAAATTTTGAGTTAAAGACCGAGCCTCCCAGTCGTATAGTCCACAACAAAGAATTGAGGGCGATAGTGGAAGCGGATTTTGGAGTTAGTGTAAAACAACATTGAAGCACTTGCGTCTAATCGAGATAAGCGACCATCAGTGAGACTTACGCGTTGAAGCATGCATTGCACTACTGAATCGGCATAGAAACGTCAGCGTTCTGAATCGAATTGTTACCTCCGATGAAAATTGGATCTAATGCGATAACCGTAAGCGTTCGTCTCAGTGGGTGGACCCCGATACAACACCTAATTAATAATGGTCACTGTAATGATGGTCACTGTCTGGTGGACCAGTGCCGGACTTGTACATCACAGCTTCTTACTGAATGGCACAACAGTGACGGCAGATTTTAATTGCCGAGAATTGCAAACAATATTGGAGAAGCTTACAATTCAACAACTATGACTGGTCAATCGTTCTTCCCCATTGCTTCTTATTTACAACGCACAAGCTCACACGTCACGACAGACCATCGCAAAGCTACAAGAGTTACAGCTGGTAGCTCTCCGTCACCTCCGTCACCAAATTTTGTTAAGTGGGAAGTGTTGTTTAAGTGGGAAAAAATTCAACACCCAAGAGGCAAAACGCTTTCGCCGATATAACCGCTGGACAGGCCAGCAGGTTTCTATAGTAAAGGTATAAACAAACTCAAAATAGCAAAATTTTATAGATATTTGGGTCATTACTTACACAAATTTCCAAGAACATAGGTAAAAACCTGATATTTAAATGTTTATGATGTCTACCGTAAAATAATATTTTTCATAAAAGTTTAAATCTATGAATACTATATTTTTATGACGATGTAGATAAATGCATTATTAATGGCACTCAAAGACCTCCTATACCACAAGAAAGATTAGATTAGAGTTATTAGTCAATCATACCGATCTGAAACCATTGTGTGGTGGGTAATCCAGTTTCTTGGCGCGCTGCAGCGATCGCCTCTCTGAGGGCAAATGTAACGCATACAGCAGCACACGTAGACGGCTCTCCAGTAGCTGTCAAAAAAATACACATTACTAGCTTCTGCCCGCGGCTCCGTTCGCGTGTTGGTTCTCGCGGTATAAACTAGCCTATGTTACTCGGGATAATGTAGCTTTCCATTGGTGAAAGAATTTTTAAAATTGGTTTAGTGTTTTAGCCATGAAAGCGTTATAAACAAACAATCATGAGTATGAAATTATGGATTTGAATATAATTATATCTTCTGTCAAGTCATCATGAGCAGGTAAGATGGACACTTCTGGTCTTGCGATATTTTTGCCTCCTTTTACTATAAGAATGTTGTATTATTATTAAACCGAACAGTGGTTTAATTGGTCACCTAGCTGGATTGGCATGTGGGATTATATGTAGATTATTTGAGCCACAAATTGTTGTTTTGAGTCTGGGTATTCTTTGTGTTCGTGTCGTGAATGTTTGAATAGTCGGGATTCAGAAATGCTTATACCCCCGCGACACAAGATATATTCATGGCGCGAATGTTGTCTTTCTAAAAAAGAAAGCCTCTCATTCCTTATTTTCTTCCTTCAAGGGTTTAACAACATAAAAAACATGAGCTGTAAAAATTTCAAGTTTGTAGACCTTGCGACTTAGACTCTGCGTTGTTGAATCGGCAGTCAGTCAGGACGTAAATTTTATGATATATATTGATTTTCTACTTATGACAATAAGTAACATTGTTGCTTATATAATTAAGTGTCATTTCAGTTTATGACTGAATCAATAATTATATATTACATACGGTGGAACGCTAAATTTTCAGAGTTACTGACCTCCTAGATTTCTTGTAGAAGATACAACTCAAATCAATAATATTTTATTTTTTTCTGATTTTGGCCTAACAAATAGAAGCTAAAGTTTATATAGTACCAGCTTTTGCCCGCTGCTCAGCCCGCATGTATGTCGGTTATCACGGTTAACATACAAACTCACTTTCATATTTATTAAATAAGTATGGATACCTTTTGATCCCAAGATAAGATCATTGCTGAAGGAGTTTTTTCTAAAGTAAACATTGAAGTTTTGGGGGATATCCCTCATTTCAGGCACGTGGTAATTCCACGTACGATTTGTTAACAATTTGCCTGTTTCAGGGTCGTACACCAGCTTTTCACATGTCCAATAACCCATTGCCATGATGAAACCTCCTTCGACCTTGAACAAATAAGGTAATAAAATTGAATATAAATGAGGTATACTCACCTTATTTTAACCACCTGTATTTTTTACTCATGGCAGTTTTAAATTAATTCTACTACCAGATTCTAGTTATGATGTTTATACTCACTTGTCCAACGTCAATTTCAGGGCTAATGCTTAAACCAACATCTTGTAGTAAGTCCACTCTAAGTGTTTCATATTCTCCGGTCAAGCAATCGATTTCTACTTCGCTTAATGCAATACCGTATACATTGTATTTCTGTATATCAGTGAAACCCGAGAAACCATGGACTTGAAGATCCACATCAGCGTTGTAAGCTGCTTTTATTAATTCCTCCCATGTTGGATTGGTCAAAGTAGCCCTTATGGGTTCCAGTCTAGTAAGTAGTTGCTCGCAACATCTCCTTAAACCAATAACAACACTTTGTGTTGTAAGACTTCCACCAGATATAAAACTGTTTGGTGCATTAGTAGTATTATTTGCTTTGACTTGAATTTTATTAACTGGAACCTTTAATAAATATGCAGCAGTTTGTATGGCTTTGGTATTAATGCCTTGTCCCATTTCTACACCCGCATGTGTGAGTACTATTGTGCCGTCTCCATGAAATACTGACAGATTAACATCGAAGCGCTGAGCTCCTATTGGAGCCCACCTTGCAAAAGAAAATCTTAAACCACGTTTTTTCCACCGGTTTTCTGTATTAAATGAATCTACAGCTGCTCTTCTAGTATCGTATTCAGTGTCAATTTTAAATTTTTGAATCATTTCTGATATATCATTGTGTTTTTCTGCGTCTAAATTAGCTAGACGAACTGCTATTGGATCTAGAGAGAGTTCATAGGCAATTCTTTCCATTACATATTCACAGGCAGCAATGGCTTCTAGTGTACCTGTAGAACATATATTCAGAGCTATTATACAGCGGAAGCTAAATCTTTTTGATTCAGTTGCAAAAAAAGATTGTAATATTTAATTTATTTTTAACGGAATTACAATAATCGGTGTGATATGATAACATAACCCAACGATTGATGGAAACAGTTATCTGTCAAAATGGTAAATTGTATCAAAATTTATTGTTGTTGTTTTTTTATTATTACTACTACTATGCTAAACTGAAGGTTATGTTTCTCTAGTTGGGTTTGCATAGATTGGATTTCGGTTTCAGCGGTGACGATCGAATTGTCTTGATTGCGAGAGTGCCATTACGTAGATTATTAAAATGAACCAAAACATTTGTTTGCAAAACTTATCGAGTCGTATATCAAAATAAAGTGTTTCATTAAATTTCTAACCAAAATTAAACATTTATAAGTTCAAATATAATATTAAAGTCGGATGTATACTTTACTTTAATAAAACAATCTTTATCGCTTGTTTTAGTATGAAAAGAACTCCAAGGATGGTTTAGATTTGTTGGCAGCAGCTTTCCACCATAATTTAACATGATAAAACTTCTATCTCTATAACTTGGATAACTTACACTCCACTACTTTGAATCAGTGATCCGTCTATTTGTTTACCCATCATAAGAAAATGTTCGTAAAATTCTGAGATAACTCTTACCTGGTGATCTACACCACGTATTTTTAGCAGTGTCAGTGATCGTGTCAAATGCTTTATAGTTAAATTTAGTTGCGTCATAGCAATTGTAATAGACATCAGACCCAAGAGCGGTGAGAGTTTCATTTGTTTTGTATCCGTTATCCTCATACATTGTCTCGTTTATATACTGTATGACACCTGATTTATTGACAGCTACCTGAAATGTATTACAAAAATTAAAAACATGGATATAATCAAAAGCTAATACTCTTCGACCTATTAAGTCAATACGTATGTTTTACTTGTCATAAAATATGTCAGTTTCTTCTGGTTACTCCAGAGAGCACTACTCTATCTCAATTCAATAACACAGGTGGTAATTACTCACTTAGACTTGAAAAGCTGAGCAATTGTGAAATTAATGTTTCAGGGTCAGCTTTGGATTGTGCCCAATTTTATGAATTTAGGAAGCTGTTGAGTTGCGAGTGCAGTAAATAATAATAATAATATTTTCACACATCCCTCACACATCCGTTGATCCCAAACTAGGCAGGGCCTTTACTATGGTAACCGGACTGCTGATAAACATAGTTATATATTTCTAAATACATATATATTATAGATAAAGTACACCCATACATATCAAAACTTATTTTATTTAGTTTGGTATACAATAAAAATATAATTATTGACATTTCAATAAAAATTTATGTGTCATGGCAGAAAAAAACAAACTAAGTAACATACCTCATAGTCGTTAGAGAATGGTAGTCTCTTTCCAACAGCTTGCATATTTGTAGTCAGTGGTTGAATAAATCGGCATGGGCGGTTCAATTTTAGGCAAACCAAACTACAAGCAACAGCAGACTGGATACTACGAGAGATCTTCATCCCGTAGGCACCTCCGAGGCGACGTACATGCATATCAATCCTGTTAAATAGTAAGTAAATGTGAGATTTTGATAGTAACTTATTTTGCCCAGTTTTTTTTACCAAACTAGGTTGGGGTCGGCTTTTAACTATACTTTGATTTTTCGTCGCTGCCATCACACCTCCACAACTCAAGTCATAGGCGATATCGAAGTACTGTAGAAAGGCTGTCGGACTCTTTAGGGCTACAAATACCCGTGTTAAAAATGATCCTATAACTACCGGGACCGATAGTTCAACGTGCTCTCCGAGGCACTGAGGGGTCTCAATGTGTTAAGTAATGGTCACCCATCCATAGACTGACCTGGCTAGGATTGCTTAACTTTGCAATGTGTTAACCTACTCGGTTACCAATTAGCCACCACTGGCTAAGTGGTAAACATAGTAGCCGAGTAACCACATGTTCTGAAATTACTAAGATTTTTTTATTTTATTCTTTATGCACAGGTAATAGTTGTGCATTGGCGAACTTAATGCCATAGGCATTTTCTCCCAGTCTACCTTACAGTTAGTCTCTAGTTTGGCTAGGTGCACTAGACATTAATGGGTGAAGTAAAAGAAAATGATTGATAAGTTAGGTAGAAGTAATGCGATAAATATACATACATTCATACGTACCAAATACATACACATACACAAATACTTATATAGCAACATACATACATAAGCCTTAAAATCAAGGTTGTAATGATATAAAATTTCAAGGTTGTAATGAATCTGCTAGCGTGTCCAGGAGGCGAGCTCTAGCTTTCATCTTGAATGAGAGGCGGCTGGGTGCTATCCTGACTTCGAGAGGGAGAACATTCCAGAGGATATGTATGTGTACGGATTGGATTAGGAACGAGGAGTGGACACAAGCGGAAGTATGAGTGGGGCAGAGCAGAAGAGGATTGTTAGCTCAACAGAGGGTGCCATCGTGGTTGGAACACAGAAATTGGAATGAAGATGTCAGGTAGGAGAGAGAAACGGGTGAGTAGATAATGGAATAGAGAGTGGTGAGGGCGCGCAGGTGTCGGCGCTGGCGAATAGTGAGCCAGTTCAATTCGCGACGAAAGGAGGAAACATGGTCATATTTGCGAAGGTTAAAGACGAATCGAATGCAGTTATTCAGAAGGCGGTCATATTTATTGAGTAGGTCTATTTTTTAATGTAAATACTATCAACGATTTTAAGTTATTTAAAATAAATGTACCAATTAGAAATCTTTTATGTTTGTGCATATCGCTTATTTGTGAAGTCACTAAAAGTCCATGTCTAGTTGGTTTACCTTCAATTTTTGAAGTGAAAACTTCTTCAGGCGCGTTTAGCTACGTAATAATAAATTAATAACTATCGGATTTGCAGTGATTACTTTACAGGTTTCGATTTACCTTTCATACTTTTAAATTGATTAAATCCATAAAGACTTGAATACGCAGAGCTGGTACTATGTCAACCAGTCTGCTGATAAGCTTCTATATTTCTGAATACATACAGATTAATAAATTACACACAGACACAGAACAAATCTCTGATTTGACCGCCAGATAAATATCTATAACGCTTTTTGTTGGTGAAGTTACGAAACGAAAGAAGTGACTTAATAAAATTACAGTAACTAAATTTGGACATAAAAATATAAATTTACCTGTTTTGATCAATGCCTAATGCTCTTGATATCATAACATGTGATCCGTCTAACCATTGGGTAGCACTATGAACTTCTAAGCCTTCTTCTGTAGGTTTAGCTACAGTTACCAAAGTCTCCATAGTAAAGTGATACTGCCCATAAGCAGTAGTATTCCCAGTTATAACTTTATGTACATCGGTTCCTCGATTAGTAGCATCTGAAGAAAAGAATAGCGTATTCCTTGTGCTATCTTCTTTTGCTCTTTTTACGTCTAATACTGGTTTTTTTACATTGCTGTACTTCACTTTGACAAGTTTGGTTGCTCGGTCAGCAATATGCTGGTCTTCTGCTACAATTATACCAAGAGGCTGATGATAGTACTTTACTGTGCTTTCAGCAAGCACTTCTTCATTAGAGGTGTATAACAGGCTATCTGCTGGTGTGAAGGAATTTAATCCCGGTATATCTTTAGCAGTGTAAAAGGCAACAACACCTTTTAGTCTCTGTAATAAATTAAGATAAAACATGTTAATTATGCTCAGAAAATTACAATGCAGATGCGTCATTAATTTTAGAACGTTTAATATTCCTACATAGAAAAAGATTTGAGGTTAGAAAGAGAGACTTACCATTGCATTTGTTGGATCTATATTTACGATGGTCCCCGTGGCCACAGTGCTGAGCACAAAAGCACCAAAAACTTCATTGGGGAATTTTGGCATATCCTCTGTGTATATCGCTTCTCCTGCACTTTGATACTTTAACGGAATAAAGAGCTTTAAAAATACCTTCTAATATATTAAATAATGAAACAAAAACTATTTCTAGTTGTGGTCACTGTTACATTTGCAAATTTTCTATTTAAAACAACACAAAAGTATCAACAAACACTTACCAAACCTTCTACTTTCTGAATAGGCTGGGTCAAGGGCCATTTTGTAGGGTCTGTAGTAAAAATTTGTTTACCGTCTGATACACCTCTAGACTCATGTAGTTTTAGAGTACCCGAGTTGAAACGTGAAGTACGAACGGTGGGTGGACTAATAGTAAGCAAAGCCTATAAAAAGGAGTGAATTTAATTGGCACGATATTAAAAAGTGTGAAAAATAAAAATAGGATGAAAACAAGAAACTTGATTTCATAAAATTAGTTACCAATTATTTGAAATCCTCTATTGTCTTTTTCTTAATATTATTAATTAAACTATAGAAGAACACAAGCGAATTCGTTGCAGCAGTAAATTTCATACAACAAAAAAAAAACTGTTTTGCTTGTATCAATCTATAAATACTCATTTCAAAATTAAAAAGAACACAGCGTAGCTTTGTCACTTGATACAATTGGTGTCATAACCAATAATTTAATTTAATTTAATAACCTGCATTAAAGATGAAGCTTATGAAAACATGACTGAGTTTTTAGTAATTGTTTTGTTTTGAATTATATGAAATCTAGTTTCCAGTATGGGCTTATTTTAGATACTCGAGGATATAATAAATGAGTTAAATATTCTTATTTTTACTTAATTACCTTGTAGAATAATGCCTTAGCCAATTGTTTTCTGTAAGCCACTGATGGCTCAGGAGGATTCTCTTCAACTATCAATTCTCCATCAAGCACTCCCAAAGCAGCCTGAAGAGTTTGGTTAGTAAATAATTGCTTTCCAACCAAGAAGGATTCAGTAGCGCAGGCTCTTATGAAATTAGGTGATAATGCTCCGTAAACAATCCTGGCTTGTTTAACTATTTGTGTCTGTTTGTCTATCTCATAAAGGAAACCAGCGTTGACAATAGCATGGACACTTTGGGCTCGAGGCATAATCTTAAATTGAAAAAGAATTACAATTATCATAATTAGACTTATGTGTTACCCCAACTTAAAATTAATAACAGCTAACAAGTTACGAATATTTAGATAAGTAATCTTACTTTGAATGTGATCAACTTATATTCATTGGACAACGGCGGGAGTAGCACATTTAAAATAACCTTTTGATTCATGTTGACTCTCAGGAAGCTCTGCATAGTATGGGTTTCTACTTGACCATAGCAATTAACTGAAACGTTTACCAAATGTATCCAAAAGCCTTTATAGCAATTAATTTTTTATAGGAAATAATAAACATAATAAAAAAAATGAACTTAAAGCTATGAAACATATGATTGTCGACAATTTAATTTCAAATCAAATTTACAAGAAATGTATTTATATTTGGTTAGAACATAGTAGTTACTATCTTAAATTTCTGTACCACTATTATACTTATAAAACAATAGTACGTACTGATGTTCAGTTGGGCCCCAACGGTCTCCAAGAGCAAGAATATGTCGGATTGAAAAACGTTGTACTTGTGTTTGATCATTAGGTTTCCAGCTATAGTACCCACCTTAAAAATGCAAATGATTCAGAAGTTAAAATTTTCAACACAAATTTTGATGCTGATCTATATTTTGGTACACTAAAAGTAAAAAATACTCAAAAATTATTAATTATTGTTTTTTTTTATAATTGCAATTAAAAACAGTTAAGTAGCTACACAGTTAAGCAGTCAAACAGTTTAGTAAAAATGTTAGTTTATACTCCTCTATAACTTCTTGTATCAATGCTAATTAATTAATGGAATATACGTACATTTCTAACAGGTATGTGAGCTACCAACGAAATATGTTCATGTAATTTCTCGAAGTAATTAAAATATTCTAAAGTTGAGTTAGCCTTCAGAATACTTAGAAATTCTGTAAGAGTAAATCCAGCACCAACTACGAAGTTTTGGTCCAAAACATTCGTCTTCAATTCTTGGAGGTGGCTGATATCTATAAGGAGACATGGGTATTCATCTATGGGGAACGCACCTAAAATCAGAATAAAATAATCAAGTTTTTCAAATCAACAAAGTAGTTACTGGGAATTAAAATAAATGAAGAGTTTTCACACCTTTTGCCGTATTTCCAGCCACCAGCATGTAATCGGATCCACTGCTTTCATTCTGCAATATGCCTAAAACTTCATGGAGGCAGTTAGGTCTGTACCATATTTTACTATCTTTTAACCTTATTCTCTTTATTGGTTGATCTAACAAATCGTCGTCGTTCACAATGCACCAATCATCTTCTTCAGCGCAACTTTTATTTTTACTACAAGGTTTTCCCTTCTTTTTACAAAGAGACAAGTTCTCAATATCAACAATTCTGTGTTCTTTTGGAGCATCTTTTGCAAATTTTTTGAAACATTCTGCTAGAGGCCTATATCCTGTACACCGACAAACGTTACTGCCAAATGCTTGTTCAACTTCCAACATAGTGACATTCCTATCTGTAGATTCCAGAAGTCTGAACAGAAAGCAGAAAAGTGCTTGTTATAATGATAAAGTTAAAAATAATGTTGATATAGGTGTAGAGATTGTGTGAAATTTGCTTTCATCGATTCATTTGGTTGAGGAATTATGATAACTAATGCGAGGGTTTGCACCCAGAGATTAAGACGACTAGCTAGGTATTTCCTAGGTTTGATATGAATTAATATTAGTATTGTTAAGAAATATGAAAACAGTGTTATTTTCTCACCCATTCATGCTCATTACCCATCCAGGAGTACAATATCCGCATTGGGTGGCGTGGTGCTCAGCTACTGCTGTCTGCAATGGATGATATCCGTCATGCTTGTTTCCCAAACCCTCTATCGTTGTGATCTCCCAATCTTGGCAAGATGTTACAGATACCATACACTGGAAAAAAAAGAAAAATATTAATAATGACCATGTCTTGTCGTTGAATCGTTGCCTGATGGTTTAGCGTTTAGTGATGAGAGTAGAGTTAGTGACCCTGACTGCTAAGCCGGAGGTCATGGGTTCAATTCACACCCAGGGCAAATATTTGTGTGATCATTTGTTCTGTATCTGGGTGTAAATTATCTATAAAATGCATGTACCTACTTAGAAATATAAGTATGTTTATTAGCAGTTTGTTTATCATAATACAGGCTCTGCCTAGTTTGGAATCAGGCTGCCGTATATGAAATAGGTGAGGTTATTATCTTAATATATATAAATCTCCTGTCACGATGTTTGTCCGCGATGGACTCCTAAACTACTTAACCGATTTTAAATTAAATTGACACACCGTGAGCAGTCTGGTCCAACTTAAGAGATAGGATAGCTTAGATCTTTAATTATAGTCGCAATTTTATTTTATTGCAAATTATTGGTCTATAATTAATTGACAGTCACAATTATCTCTCTCAAATAACTCCAAAAGATTCTAACAGATGTCGATACTTTTCGACTGGATTGAGTAAGTAATCAATAGATGGCACTGCTATGGTAAACCGACATAATGTATATGGCAAAACAACGTTTGCGGGGTCAGCTAGTATTATTATAGAAATATTATAAATGTGAAAGTTTGGATGGATATATAGTTGTTTGTTCTCAATCACGCCAGAACCGCTGAGCGGAATTGGATAAATTTGATACAGAGATATACTCTAGTCTGAAATAGGGTTAGATCACTGTTTATATTAATTGCTATAGGCGACATTACCACGTATCAAGCAGCTGGCAAAAACTTAATAATTACAAAAAGATAGCTTACAGAGTTTATGGCTTTACAAGCGGTGCCAGGCGTGGTGGAGGCATTGACAGTGCAGGCTCCGCAGCCACCCTCTCGACACATGTACTTGGTGCCGCGGAGCTCCAGTGTATTGCGGAGGTAGTCGACAAGCATTATGTCGGAGCTTACCTCAGAACCAACTAGAGGCAAAAATAGGTATTTTATTCTTCTGTAAAAAAAGGAAGACTGATTCATGTAGGGACAAGAGAAGTAGAGAGGAATAAATCAGTCTAGTTCATTCTTTTATTTTATGGAAAGAGCAACTTTTTTTAATATTAACCCTTTTAAAAAAGGTTGAACCGTCTCCAAACAAACTTGAAAGAAGTTACAATAAAATGAAGAGACTCCGCCTTTTTAAAGCTGGTCAAAAAACTGACTTCAAGAGTTTGGCAGGTAGGATAGGTATATTAATACTAATTCGAATTTGGTTTTTCATGAATGCTATTGTAGTTGGTTTCAAAAATTTACGTTACGTTACGCGTTACGGCGCCAGTCTGTCTGGTTTCCCTTTCTCCCACGCATACGGTAACGGTAGGCAGGCTCCTCCTCTCTCACTCTAACCCACAGCGCTAGTCGTATTTCGGACAGACGCTTTACATAAAATTTAAGTAATAACCTAAGCTTTTCTCAATTTAAACACTTTCAATATAGGTAGTTCAACTTAGATTAGTTCAAGTTATCACTTCTATCCGGCGTCCCGAGACGCACACGTTTTTTTTATGATAGAGGGGGCAGACGACCAGGCGAGTCACCTGATGGAAAGTGACCATTGGCGCCCATGAACATCTGCAACTCAGGACCTGGAGGCAAAGTTGTATTGTTTTTTAGCGTGCTGGTATTTACATCGCCTACCGTCGCTGCATTTGCCCATGCTTCTGGATGTGTCAAACCAGGGCTTGGATCTGACACCGATGGGAATTAATGTGGGAGGAACCAATATTTCCATGCCCTTAAGAACTACATCAGTGACAGAATCATCAGGCAAGTGACAGAATCATGCAAAGAAGGAACGCATCCTATCCCAGTCCGCTGACCTATAGTGCCACACACGGTGGCAGCCCGGAATAGACAATGATTCGAGGAGCCAAGTGGGGCTTCAACGGCGATTTTGTAACCGTCCGGATCGGAGGTCAGCAGAAGGTTTAACAGTGAAGGCTCATGATTTTCCACATCTGGGGCTCACGTGGACATTGAACCAGTTGTGACAAGTCAATAGGCAAGGGTGAAACGTGAACAGGTCTCGCCGTCAAACAAGCCATTTGGCGCTGTGAGCGTTGAAGTCGCCAAGTATCACGATCTCTGCGGATGGGATCTGCTGTAGCACGGAATCTGTAGCCATTTAGACGTGTTCCATCAGTTACGGTGTCAACGCTGTGGAACCATTAGAGGCATAAAGGTGGTCGTCGTTGTCTACACGGAGCCACAAGATAGATAGGTTCCGTCCTTCAAGATTGCTGAGGCGGCGAGAACTGATATCACCTCTAACGTACACGCACACTCGAGCCCTAGCAACAAAGGAGTGTTCCAGATGATAGCCTTGGTAGGAGAGGTAGAATGTGTCCGATGGAGATGATATCTCATCTCTTTCTTGTCGTCTCGGTTAAAAAAAGCAATGTCGGCTGCATTGTCTCAAGGTGGTGGTAGACAGCCTTGAGGTTGGAGTGAAGACCCCTTATATTTCAGAAATTCACGTTAATCTGCCTGGGCCTGATGTGCCTGCTCCCGCCGCGGGCAGAAATCTTATCGAACGCTATAGCTATCCCTCACCTCGCCAAATACGGTACCCCGGTACGCAGCTGGTACCCCCTGGGGTAGAATATTATTCTACATATATAGGGTATAGGGGGTAGGGGTAGGGTATAGGGGGGTCGGGGGTCGGTCGGTCTTCAATTTTCATCAAATGCATAACGACCGGTTTTCTGCGTGGCCGTGGTAGCGCACCCATTTTTGCCGAAGCATGGCTCTCGCCATGTCAAATAAATAATAATATAGATCTGAGAGATGTATATTATTATTTATTAGTACGTTACATTCACGTTGTATGAAAAGATGGGAAAAAAAAAGATGTTAAAGCAGAATTTGATGAAATAATTGAAAACTCTTGTTATATCCATATACGAGTAATGAAATGAGATAAGAATAATGAATCCAGCGGTATTTTAATTAATTATAATAAAAAGTTTTTGTTAGTTTTCACGCTTTCACGCCTAAAATACTAAACCGATTTTGTTAATTATTTCACCAATGGAAAGCTACGTTATCAGCGAGTAACACAGGGTACTTTTTTCTACGATTACCGAAACGCTGACGGAGCCGCGGGCTATAATGTTATGTCTTTATTATTATAAATATTTTTTATTTTATTTTTACACCTTCATGCACAGATAAGTGCAATGGCGGACTAAATAATTACGTGACTATAATTATGGTAGAGAGAGCGAGCGATTATATTATATAAAGAACAACTACCAGTCAAGGAAAATATCTCTCTGCTATGTTATTAAACTTAACAAGCGACAGTTGAAATGTACAATTCAATAAACTCGTATAAGAGACCACAAATACGATTTGCAGGTCTAGGAAATACATTTTATTGCAAGTTAACGTGCATTATTACGGGATATGTTAGTTTCTCAGATGTGAAAACCAGAGAAATAATAATAATAATATTTTCGGATATCTAAAACACAACGCCATCTAGTTTCAAACTAAATAGAGCTGGTACTATAAAAGCTAGATTGATTAATAAAAAACTTATTTACTAGTTTTTTGTAAATACGTACATATTAGACATAGAAAACACATAAACTATGAAATAAATATTTGCAGGTTATATAAACATTTGGTCCGTCCGGGAATCGAACCCGAGAGCTCAGCACAGGAGTCACATAAACTACCACTGCACCAGCGAGGCAGTTAAGCCAGTCAAACTTTAGTGTATTAGAGTGTGAATCTTAGTGTTTTTTAAAAATCAGTTTAGCCGTAGAAGCGTATCAGACAGATCGAGTTACTTTCTCATTTATGAAATAAGTAGGGGTTTTGAAGCATTTGTAACTTAACAGTCTTAGAGCCGGGATCATATAACATTTGCCGTGGGGGACATTTGGGTTTGAGTGTTTGAATAAAATTTGGCTTGGAGATACTTTGACTCTTTAGGAAGGCCATAGGGACACACTTTTTACCGCGAAAATCGGTGACACATGGGTGGAGCCACGTTCTATAGTTAGTTTCTTACAATCCAAACTTAAATTCACTTAATGCGTTTTTTATATTCAAAAGAAATCGTATCTCCGTGACACTGTTTTGACATTTAGCGTGTTTTTTCCGACCAATCTTAAAATGAATTCCTTGATGATAGTTAATAAAAACAAACTATCATGTTTTTATAAGTCCTAGTCACCTTGGCCTTACCTGATTTATAAGTGCCTTAGGTCATGGTTTTTAATAACATCGTTTTTGTAAATAAAGAATAACATTATGTCATCATTATTTTAGTGTGTAAAGAGCGGCAAAAAGCGGCGTGTAGCATACACTGAAATGACTAAAACTACACGGTGTGCCATATCAACCATAGACGAACTCTCAGTGGGAATGTATCGTTTAGACGGCACAAAGTAAGGTTTAAGGAATTGGTACAAGAAACATAATTATAAAATAAACTTTTGCAGTGGCAGGAGTGCATTCTATCATATTAAGATTAAGAATACGGTGTGTGTGTCCCTTATTTATCCAGTCTGTGTCGAAAATTCAAAGCAAACCCTTTTTTTTTTTTTTTTAGCGTGTGGAAATCCCCTCGGACCGTCACCCCTCCGGGGTTTGCGGCGGGGTGGTGTGTCAGACTCGGACCGACTAAAACCACACGGTGTGCCACTCTGCGCCTGTAACAGGAGGGATCCGGGAACAGCTGTTGTTAAGACATCCGGACCCCTCCTAGCGCCAGCCCGCTCCTGGTGCGGGCTCCGTCTCAGTGTTGTTCCTCTCTATAGGCGACGTCCGGCACACGCGGACGCCGCCCCCTCGCGGCTGGCCAACTAATGCGGGTGGAGGGGAAACCCACCCCGTCCACCCGCGGCCACACTCAGGGCGGCATGAGGCTGTGATAGCCGGGCCTCCGCCGCCCGGTTCGCCGGCGGCGGATCGGGTCCGAGTGGAGGTCGTCCTCCCGGGCCCTCTCGGCGGCCTCCTTCCGCGAGATTACTACCTCGCAGAAGGTTGCGACCGCGGTAAAACAACTGTCGCTACCGGCCATGGAGCGTACTACGGCCGGTAGCGAGAGATCCACTCCGATGACTGCAGTGAGGGCCCGGCGCTGCGCCGCCCATGCGGGGCAGACCGCCAGCGTGTGCTGGGCCGAGTCCTCACTGCAGTCGCAGTGGTGGCAGGCGGGACTCAGTTCCCTCCTAGCGACCGTGTGCAGGTACTTTCCGAAGCAACCATGCCCGGAAAGCACCTGCGTCAGCCGGAAGGAAAGGGTCCCGTGCTGCCGCCCTGCCCACTCGGCGATGACCGGCTGGAGAGCCTCCACGGCGGCAAAGCCAGCGCGTGGAGTCTCCAGCCGGAACGACCAACGAGCCATCGTGGCTCGGCGAGCGGCTTCGCGCCACTCACGCACATCCTCGGGCGGAGGGCGAAATCCGCTCTCCGCCCGGAAGTCAGCCACTCGCCGATAAACTTCGGCGAGCACTTCCGCCTCCAAATCCCACGGGGGAGTTCCGGCCTATGCGCATGCCACCTCCGTCGAAACGGTGCGGTAACCGCGTATGGCTCTGACCGCCATTACCCTCTGAGGGCGCCAGAGGCGTACCCTATTCTGGGCGGTCAGAGCCGCCGCCCACACCGGTGCACCGTACAGTGCCATTGACCGGACAACCCCCGTGTACAGCCGTCTTGTCGCGACGCTGGGTCCACCCATATTGGGCAAGAGTCGCCCTAGGGCAGACGCAGCGCCGACCAGCTTTGGAGCAAGCTGTCGGAAGTGCTCGTCGAAGAGCCACCTCCCGTCGAGGATCAGGCCCAGATATTTCATCTGGGCCCGAACCGGTATGAGGACCGAGTTGACCACGATGGAGGCGCCAGGGGGTGGACCACGACTGGGCCCATGGAATAACAGGGCCTCCGTCTTATCTAGGGCCACCCGTAA